ACCTCCATCAGGCTCACTGGATGAAGCAACTGCCCCAATCAGTGTGAATAGTGTGCCACAAAAATGAACAGCTTGGAATGAAACAAGTACTTCAGAACACCTCCTAATCCAGAGTGCTCTTTTCTGAGGTGGGAGATCTGATTTTGGCAGCCTCTCAGCTACCAAAAGGAACATAAATAAGGACCAAACTGTTCTCTCCCTGTTCGGTCAGGCTCACTGGATGAAGCAACTGCCCCAATCAGTGTGAATAGTGTGCCACAAAAATGAACAGCTTGGAATGAAACAAGTACTTCAGAACACCTCCTAATCCAGAGTGCTCTTTTCTGAGGTGGGAGATCTGATTTTGGCAGCCTCTCAGCTACCAAAAGGAACATAAATAAGGACCAAACTGTTCTCTCCCTGTTCGGACACAAAACAACAGCTACCACCATGCTGTATGTCAACCACATTTTACTACATGTGTTCTGGAAAATGTAGGTTTTCTATCCAGATTCAACACACAGAGGATTTGGATGAAAGGATATGCAGTGGAGAAGCCTCCTGACACTTTCTATGAGCACAAAGATGACCAAACCTACATGTTCAGACATCACTGGAGTTTTAGAACTCAGTTATGTCAATATAATCAGGATATATCTGAGTGAGGATCAAAGGGTAACAGTTACTGGTCTTCCAGAGTACAGAATTAACATTACCTTGACTTTCTATCTCTGCCAACATATTAGTCAAGTAGTTCAGTGGCAAAAACTCCACAGAGACTGAGAGCCTCTCAGGGATGGACCTGCTGCACTGTAAGGGAGAACATTTCAGGTTAGTTCAAAGTCACACAGTACCAGGTTTCAGTGTTTCTTTAGTGTGTTACAGTCTACAGAGAGCTCAGGAATCTCAACACTGACAAAGCACAAGATCAAAAATCGTGGCCTCTGTGGTCTTACCTGCCTGTTCCCCAGCTTCTCCAGCAAGAGTTTCACATACTTCCGTGCAATTAAATTAGCGTTTACTGGATGATTCCAGACCTGGCAAACCTTTTGGCCAAGAGCCTAGGAAACAAAAAACACAACTCAAAAACCTGAGAACATCAACACAGACAGTGGAAACTTAGGAGGGGGAAAAGGAGGAAAAAACCTGAAACAAAATCCAGGCTGTAACACAGATGCTTTGCTTTCAGCAGTTGAAGATTAGATTTATCCTGCACTGTGACTCTCTGGCTTGGATCTATTCTTCCCTCAAAGAATAAGGCAGATCCCCATTCCTCAAGGCTCCCCCAGGACAGGGCTCAGCCTAAGGAATCTCACACTGCTGACAAGGAGAGATCCTGGGAAGGCAGTCTGGATCCCATTGTTCAGGTCATCATCTTGGGAACTGATAAAATTGGCTCACATTCCCCAAGGCAAAAGAGATTTCAAACCAGGTTTCCCAGAGCTTCCAAATCCTAACCAATAAGCAAAAGAATAGGAACACACCATGAAATTATCTCCACCTTCTGCTGTTTTCTCTCACTTTCAGCTGTACTGCAACAAACTGCTGGAGGAGTTCACTTCAGTAAATGCTGTGGTGCTTAAACTGAAGTCATCTACTGAATGTAACCTGCTCAAAATAGCCCAAGTCACCCCAAAGTGACCTTTTAGGAAAACAAACTGTTCTCTGCATTTTTCTGCAAAGCTGTAAATAGATACAATAAGGCACTGAGCCTACTGTGCACAGCCAGCAGTACCATTCCCCTAAGCTCTCACAGCTCAGCCCTTCCACTCAGAGCCTGGATAGAATGGTGTTCCTCACCCACCAGGACCAGGGCTGACAGCTCAGAGGCCCCAAGCTGACCCCAGCTCACCAGCCCAGGCCCAAAACATCATACAGAGGACAAAGAACATCCTGTGGAGTTCTCCTCTACCCTGCTCAAAGCTGCTGCCAAATAAAGAAGCTTTTGTTAGAGGAAACCCCAAGCAGCACTTCTGGCCATTTGAACTGTATGTAACAGCCCAGAATGAGCTAACAATAGGCAACTTATGCAGAGAAAAAGCCTGTTCTGCACTGAGGCACTCCCTGAGGGGGTTCCCTGGGGTTCCTCTGCTCACTGAGATGCTGTGCTTCCTCTGCAGTCCTGTGGTATGCACTGAGAGCAAAAGAGGACAAGAAGTCCCATCTCCCATTCTGCTGGAACTTTTTATGGAGCACCAGTAATTAGCTCTAGTATGTGGCTAAGTCACCCTGAGATTTCAGATAGGGGAAATCTTGTAATTCAGTCCAAATTCAGGGCCAAATCTGTCATTTAAGTTATCAGGGTGTCCTACAGGCCAGGAGCAGCAGATGGAGAAACTATGGATGTTCAGGTTATATTTGAACCAGGTTCTATATAAATCACAGCTGAGTCTTCCACTGCCTTGATCCTGTGCACAGGGAGGGATTTTCTATCCATTCCAAAATCCAAGAAACTACATCCAAAGTCGTTAGTTACCTCAGGAAGCCTCATGACAATACTAAACTTCAGCTTTTCATTCTGTTCGGTGTCGTCCAGATCTACAAGAGACAGGGAAAACAACAAACCAAACAACCAGTAACAACATAACTAAAACTCTCACTGAAGACATTCTGAATAGATATCACCCCCAGAATGAAATGAAAATTTCAGTTTTAAATAAGGCTGTTAGTGTTATTTGTATTTATACCATTTATACAAATATTGTTCTGTGTATTTGGACACAACCACCATTTCATGTAACAATTCATACCAGTAATTCAAACGTATTTTGACTAAGTACAACTCCTCATGTTTATAGCATTTCATTTATCAAGACCAGACACAGATTGATAAGAGCATGTTGTGTTGTCCCTTTTCTTGTACACTGCAGAAATAGCACATGACAAGGGGTTGGCCACACTGCTGGCTCATGCTTAGCCACTGCCAAGCAGCTCCACCAGGGCCTTTTCCAGCTGATTTCCAGCCACTCTGCCCCAAGCCTGTAGCACTGCATGGCACTGTTGGGACCAGCATTTGTGTCTGTGGAACCTCACACAATTGGCCCCAGCCCACCAGTCCAACCTGTCCAGATCCCCCTGCAGAGCCTTCCTACCCTCCAGCAGGTCAACACTCCCCATCAGCTTGGTGTCGTCTCCAAACTGACTGAGGGAGCACTTGAAACCCTTGTCCACATTGTCAATAAAGATATTAAACAGAACTGAGCCCAGTCCTGAGCCCTGGGGAGCACCACTGGTGACCAGCCACCAGCTGGATGTAACTCCATTCCCCACCACCCTCTGGACCCAGATGTCCTGCCAGTTTTTTACGCAGCAAACAGTGCACTCATCCAAACCATGAGCAGCCAGTTTCTGCAGGAGATTCCTGTGGGAAATGGTGCCAAAGGTTTTCTGAAGTCCAGGTAGACAACACCCACAGCCTTTCCCTCATCTACAAGGCAGGTCACCTTGTCATAGGAGAGCAGGTTGGTCAGGCAGGACCTGCCTTGCACAAACTCATGCTGGCTGGGCCTGATCCCCTGGTTGCTCTGCACAAGCTGCATGATGGCACTCAAGATGATCTGCTCCATGACCTTCCCCAGCCCTGAGTCAGACTGACAGGCCTGTTTCTCTTGTTCCAAACATAATTAGAATCATAGAACTATCAGGTAGGAGGAGAACTCTAAGATCACTGAGTCCAACCATTAACCTGTCACTCTGCTGGAACCTGTGAACCCTAAACCATATCCTCCAGTGTCAGATCCAGATGCCTCTTAAACACTTCAGGGATGGTGACTCCACCAACTCTCTGGGCAATATTCCAGTGCCTGACCAAATTAAAACAAAAGCTGAGGACTGAATAGAGACTAACACATTGGTGTGCACTTCCACAGTCACAGAAATTCCCCAACAAACACTACTATGATCTTTAGTATTTGCTTTTCCAAGAAGACCCAAGTGGAAACACTATAAACTCAAATTCTCTCCAAACAGATATTTCTTTGTGTACCATGGTAAGGCCAATCACATAGTCTGAGCCTAATTTTCTCCTTTCAGCTAGGCAACACCATCACCTACAGCTCACACTGAAACAACACTAAGAACAGCTGAGTGTCCTGGACCATAAATCCTGTGTCCAAGTGGAGTGGCTCCAAGGACAACACTCCCAATTAGCTGTCTGGTATCAAATGAAACACATGATGCTCACTGTACCTTTCAGCAATTTCCTGACACAGGTTTCTGTCAAATGTAAGACTCCATTATCAATGTAGTGCAGGAGGGTGTGCAGGGGGAGACAACGAACACCAAGGCCCAAGTGCAGAGTGTGAAAACCTATGAGAGAGACAAACTTGCTTGGCACAATACACTTTTTTTTTTTTAATGTCTGTATTAAAGACTGGCATTACTCTAGTTAAAGTCATCACTCCCCTTAACTTCTGGCTGTTTCTGGTTGGTGAGAAATCAGTTTATCAAGCCATGTAGTCTTATTTAGGCATCCTTTAAGGCCTCTCAAGTACAATGCTGTCAGAAAGAAGACAGCTACGGGGACTGAAAACAAGTCATTAAAAGCATACAGAGTCACTAAACATCTTCAAGCTGCTGCCTTATATCTAGTAATTTGCCTTTTAGCTCCCTCTTTCCTGCTAATTAATCAAAACCTGAGGCCTCATGCCCTGGCTCCCACCCACACCCTCCCACAGCAGTGTTAACACTTCAGTTTCTCATCTAACCTCAGCCAGATGATGGTCTTGTTACCACATCACACTACTGAGTGGCAGCATTTGTGCCCACACAGACTGAGGGACAAACACAACAAAACCAGCTTCAAAGACTCAAGAGAGGCCAGGAAATGCAAACTAGAGAGATACAAATGGAATCAGAAAGCATGAAGATGTTAAGAAGTCTTTGCCTAACAAAAATAAGCAAGTGCTTTGAAAAGACTAAGCAATTATGAGGAGCTCTAGGAAACGACTCAGCTGTCAAGATCAGCTTTTCCATCAAGGCTGGAGGTAATCCTTTCAGGATAAAACTGAAACTATTAGCAGGACAACAGCATGAGAAAAAGCACTTTTTGCTGCAGGATAGGATTTTCCCTTGTGGCCCTTGACACTGAAAAAACCATATGATTTGGTTTTTTGGTTGCCTAAAAACCATATGAAAGTGAAAGCAGTCTAAATCTTGGTTCTAAGGTAACACTGCACCCAAGCATCCCATGAAAACCTCTGTTTTGTTGTATCTGTTTCTAGTAGCTAGTTTTGCTTCATTTCACTTGCACATGTTTATCAAGGGTCTTCCCCTCTATAACTGTCTTGAATAGATGTCAATCTACTTACTGTCTTGAATAGATGCCAAAGCTAACTTGGCATATATGCTGCAACTACTGGGAGGAATTTATAGCATTGACCTTCTCACTTGTGATGGAAACAGCAAAACCCAGGACTTACCAGGAGGTAAAGGCATGCACATGCCATTTGCTGCTTCCAGAATCCGACTCATGATGTGGAACACTGCAAACTCTCCTGCACTTCCTCTCTCATCACTGCAGTTAACAAAGTAGAATACATTAAGAACCTGAGGTCACTCTCCTGGAGAGACAATTTGCTGTACTACATATGTACTCAATGCCTGCATTTGGGGTAAAGTGTCATGGGCTGCTACCTTGTTTACTGAGCTATCTGTCACCCAACAGCACCAACTGTTCCATAGTGACACACAAGGTCTCTGTGATCTCCCCATCCCCTCCCACCACTACTGCATGTTTACAGGTCTCAGCAGTAGCTGGAATCA